GTGCTGGGATGATGGAGAGCTGTGATTGAGGTGCTGTGATGAAGAGTGCCTGTGATGGAGAGTGCTGTGATGGAGAGTGCTGTGATGGAGATGCGTGATGGATAGTGGCTGTGATGGAGAGTGCTGTGATGGAGATGCTGTGTGGAGAGTGCTGTGACGGAGAGTGCTGTGACGAGAGTGCTGTGATGGAGATGGCTGTGACGGAGAGTGATGTGATGGAGAGTGCTGTGATGGAGAGTGCTGTGATGAGAGTGCTGTGATTGGAATTGCTGTGATGGAGAGTGCTGTGACGGAGAGGCTGCTGGAGGAGAGTGCTTTGGGATGGAGAGTGCAGGATGGAGAGTGCTGTGATGGAGAGTGCGGTGATGGAGATGCTGTGATGGAGAGTGCTTGATGATGAGAGTCTGTGACGGAGAGTGCTGTGACGTAGAGTGGCTGTGATGGAGAGTGCTGTGACGAGAGTGCTGTGATGGAGAGTGCTGTGAGGAGAGTGCTGTGGTTATATAGTGCTGTGATTGAGAGTGCTGTGATGAGAGGTGCTGTGATGGAGAGTTGCTGTGATGGAGAGAGTGCTGAGATGGAGCGTGCTGTGCTGGAGAGTGCTGTATGGAGATGCTGTGACGGGAGTGCTGTGATGGAGAGTGCTGTAAGGAAGTGCTGTGTTGATATGCTGTGATGGAGAGTGCCTGTGATGGAGAGTGCTGTGAAGGAAGTGCTGTGTTGGATAGTTCTGTGACGAGAGTGCTGTGATGTAGAGTGCTGTGATGGAGAGTGCTGTGATGGAGAGTGCTGTGATGGAGAGTGCTGTGTTGGAGAGTGCTGTGATGGAGAGTGCTGTGATGGAGAGTGCTGTGATGGAGAGTGCTGTGATGGAGAAATTGCTGTGGATGGAAGAGTGCGTGATGGAGAGTGCTGTGATGGAGAGTGCAGTGAAGGAGAGTGCTGTGTTGTATAGTGCTTGTGATGAGAGTGCAGTGATGGAGAGGCTGTGACGGAGAGTGCTGTGATTGAGAGTGCTGTGAAGGAGAGTGCTTGTTTTGATTAAGCTGTGATGGAGAGTGCTGTGATGAGAAGTGGCTGTGACGGAGAGTGATGTGATGGAGAGTGCTGTGATGGAGAGTGCTGTGATGGAATGCAGTGAAGGGAGTGCTGTGTTGGATAGTCTGTGACGGAGAGTTCTGTGAAGGAGAGTTCTGTGAATTGAGAGTGCTGTGTTGGAGAGTGCTGTGATGGAGAGTGCTGTGATGGAGAGTGCTGTGAGGAGAGTGCTGTGATGGAGAGTGCTGTGATGGAGAGTGCTGTGATGGAGATCCTGTGATTGGAGAGTGCAGTGAAGGAGAGTGCTGTGTTGGATAGTGCTGTGATGAGATGATGTGGATGGATAGTGCTGTGACGGAGAGTTCTGCGGATGGAGAGTGCTGTGAAGGAGAGTGCTGTGTTGGATAGTGCTGTGATGGAGAGTGCTGTGATGGAGAGTGCTGTGATGGAGAGTGCTGTGATGGAGAGTGCTGTGATGGAGAGTGCTGTGATGGAGAGTGCTGTGTTGGAGAGTGCTGTGATGGAGAGTGCTGTGATGGAGAGTGCTGTGATGGAGAGTGCTGTGTTGGAGAGTGCTGTGATGGAGAGTGCTGTGTTGGAGAGTGCTGTGAAGAGAGTCTGCGATGGAGAGTGCTACGATGGAGATCTGTGATGGAGAGTGCTGGATGGAGTAGTGCCTGTGGATGAGAGTTCTGTGATGGAGAAGTGCTGTGATGGAGAGGGCTGTGATGGAGATTGTCTGTGATTGGAGAGTGCTGTGGATGGAGAGTGCTGTGATGGAGAGTGCTGTATGAGAGTGCTGTGATGTAGAGTGCTGTGATGAGAGTGCTGTGATGCAGAGTGCTGTGAATGGAGAGTGCTGTGAGGATGTTTTGTTTGGAAAGTGCTGTGATGGAGAGTGATGTGAATGGAGAGTGGCTGTGATGGAGAGTGCTGTGATGGAGCCGTGCTGTGATGGAGATGCGTGACGGAGAGTGCTGTGATGGAGAGTGCTGTGAAGGAGAGTGCTGTGTTGGATAGTGCTTGATGGAGAGTGATGTGATGGAGAGTGCTGTGATGGAGATGCTGTGATGGAGAGTGCTGTGATGGAGCGTGCTGGGTACGGTGAGAGTGCTGTGATGGAGAGTGCTGTGATGGAGAGTGCTGTGATGGAGAGTGCTGTGATGGAGAGTGCTGTGATGGAGAGTGCTGTGATGGAGAGTGCTGTGATGGAGAGTGCTGTGATGGAGAGTGCAGTGAAGGAGAGTGCTGTGTTGGATAGTGCTGTGATGGAGAGTGCTGTGATGGAGAGTGCTGTGACGGAGAGTGCTGTGATGGAGAGTGCTGTGAAGGAGAGAGCTGTGTTTGGATAGTGCGTGATGGAGAGTGCTTGTGATGGAGATTTGCTGTGACTGAGGAGTGCTGTGATGGAGAGGTGCTGTGATGAGAGTGCTGTGATGAAAGTGCAGTGAAGAGAGTGCTGTGTTGGATATGCTGTGACGGAGAGTGCCTGTGATGGAGAGTGCTGTGATGAAGAGTGCTTTGTTGAGAGTGCTGTGATGGAAGTGCTGTGATGGCGAAGTGCTGGTGCGGAGAGTGCTGTGATGAGAGTGCTGGAAGGAGATTGCTGTGATGGAGAGTGCTGGATGGAGATGTGCATTGAAGGAGAGTGCTGAGTTGGATAGTGCTGTGGGATGGAGAGGCTGTGATGGAGTGCTGTGACGGAGAGTGCTGTGATGGAGAGTGCTGTTGAAGGAGAGTGCTGTGTTGGATAGTGCTGTGATGGAGAGTGTTGTGATGAGTGTCTGTATGGAGAGTGCTGTGATGGAGAGAGCTGCGATGGAGAGTGCTGTGTTGGAGAGTGCTGTGTTGAGAGAGCTGTGAGAGATGTGCTGTGATAGAAGTGCTGTGATGGATTGTGCTGTGTTGGAGAGAGCTGTGATGGAGATGCTGTTGATTGAGATTGGCTGAAGGAGAGTAGCTGCGATGGAGAGTGCTACGATGGAGAGTGCTGTGATTGGAGAGTGCTGATGAGAGTGCTGTGATGGAGAGTGCTGAGATGGAGAGTGCTGTGATTGGAGAGTGCTGTGATGGAGAGAGCGGTGATGGAGAGTGCCTTGTGATGGAGATGCGTGATGGAGAGTCTGTGATGGAGAGTGCTGTGAGGAGAGTGCTTGAATGAGAGTGCTGTGATGGAGAGTGCTGTGATGGAGAGTGCTGGATGGAGAGTGCTGTATGGAGAGTGCTGTGAGGGAGTGTGTTGTGTTGGAAAGTGCTGTGATGGAGAGTGCTGGTGAGGAGAGTGCTGTGATGGGGAGAGTGCTACGAAGGAGAGTGCTGTGATGGAGAGTGCTGTGACGGAGAGTGCTGTGCGAATTGATATTGCTGTGATGAAAGTGCTGTGATGGAGAGTGCTACGACGGAGAGTGCTTTGTGATGAGAGTGGCTGTGATGGAAGAGTGCTGTGATGGGAGAGTGCTGTGATGGAGGAGTGCTGTTATGGATAGTGCTGTGATGGAGAGTGTGTGAGGGAGAGTTCTGTGATGGGGTGTGCTGTGATGATTGTGTTTTGTGTTGGAAAGTGCTGTGATGGATATTTCTGTATTGAGAGTGCTGTGATGGAAGAGTGCTGTGATGGAAGTGGCTGGGATGGAGAGTGCTGGAGGAATTGCTGTGTGAGAGTGCGTTGATGGAGAGTGCTGTGATGGAGAGTGCTGTGATTGAGAGTGCTGTGACATGGAGAGTGCTGTGATGGAGAGTGCTGTGATTGGAGAGTGCAGTGATGAGAGTGCTGGGATGGAGAGTGGCTGATGGAGAGTGCTGGTGATGGAGTTGCTGGTGTTGGAGAGTGCTGTGATGGAGAGTGCGTGATGGGAGTCTGTGATGGAGATTTCTTGTGATGGAGAGTGCTTATGAGGAGAGTGCTGTGAAGGAGAGTGGCTGTCATGAAGAGTGTTGTGTATGGAGATTGCTGTGATGGAGAATGCTGCAATGCAAGAGTGCTGTGAAGGAGTGTGCTGTGATGGAGATTGCTGTGATGGAGATTGCAGTGATGGAGAGTGCTGTGAAGGAGTGTGCTGTCATGAAGAGTGCTGTGATGGAGATTGCTGTGATGGAGGATGCTGCATTGCAGAGTGCTGTGAAGGAGTGTGCTGTGATGGAGATTGCTGTGATGGAGATTGCTGTGAAGTGAGTGCTCTGATGGACAGTGCTTTGAAGGAGAGTGCTGTGAAGGTTAGTGCTGTAATGAAGATTGCTGTAATGTAGAGTTCTCTGAAGGAGTGTGCTCTGATGGAGAGTGCAGGGATGGAGAGTGCAGGGATGGAGAGTGCAGGGATGGAGAGTGCTGTAATGGAGTGTGCCGTGATGGAAAATGCTGTGAGAAACTCCATCATCTGACACTCCCTTCTCTCCCATCCCTTCCTCCCTCCCGCTGTCCCTCCTTCCTTCCGTCCTTCCTTCCGGTTTGCTTTTCCTCTCCCTCCATCTCTCCTCCCACCCTCCCATCCCACCCTCCCCACCCCCCCACTCTTCTCCCTAACCGCCCTCTCTGCCTCCCTCCCTGCCATCACACTGATGCAGATACAGGGCAACACTAGACTTTATCAATACTGCTCTGGAGTCATTGATACTGGGGAGGTGGGGAGACGTGGATGCCTTGGTTGTGGGGAGACGAGGAGGCCTTCGTTGTGGGGAGACGAGGATGCCTTGGATGTGAGGAGACGAGGAGGCCTTGGATGTTGGGAGACAAGGAGGCCTTCGATGTGGGGAGAAGGGGAGGCCTGCTGTGGTGAAGACCATGCTGCCTTTGGATGTTGTGAGACAGAGGCCTAGGTATGTGTGGGAGACGAGGATTCTTTTGATGTTGGTAGACGGAGGCCTTGGATGTGGAGACGAGGAGGCCTTCGATGTGGGGGAGAAGGGAGGCATTCGCGTTGGGAGACGAGGAGGCCTATGGCTGAGGTAGAGACGAGAGGCCTTGTATGTGGGGAGACGAGGAGCCTTTGGATGTTGGGAGAGGGAAAGCCTTGGAAGTTTTAGACGACCAGGAGGCCTTGGATGGAGGAGACAAGGAGGCAATGGATATGGGAGAACGAGGAGGCTTTGATATGGGGGAGAGAGGAGGCCCTTGGAATGTTGGGGTGACTAGGAGGCTTTGGATGTGGGGAGACCAGGAGACCTTGGATGTGGGAGAGGGGAGGGCCTTGTATGTGGAGAGACGGGAGGCCTTTGCTGTGGGGAGACCGGGGAGGCCTTGGATGTGTGGAGGACGGGGAGGCCATGGCTTCTGGGGAGACGAGGAGACATTGGCTGTGGTAGAGGGAGGCCTTGGATGTGGGGCGACGGGAGGCCTTGCTGTGGGGAGAAGGTGAGGACTTGTATGTGGTGATAGGGGTAATCCTAGGATGTGGTGAGACTGGGAGGTCTTTGCTGTGGGGAGACGGGGAGGCCTTGGATGTGTGGAGACGGGGAGGCCTTGTCTCTGGGGAGACGGGGAAGACCTTGGATGTTGGGATACCAGGAGGCCTTGGATGTGGGATACTGGAGGCCTTTGGCTGTGGGAGACAGGGAGACCTTGGATGTGGGGAGACGAGGAGGCGTTGGATGTGGGGAGACGGGACGATCTTATATGTGTGGATAGGGGGAGGCCTTGGATGTGTAGAGACGGGGGAGGCCTTGGCTGGTGGGAACGGAGACCAGGCTGTGGTAGACGGGAAGATTTGGAATGTGATTATATGGGGGAGAGGCCTTGGATATGTTGAGACGGGAGGAGCCTTGGCTTGTGGGGATACAGGTAGAGCCTTTTATGAGTAAGAAGGGATGCCTTAGATGTGGGGAGACGGGGAGGCCTTGGGATGTGGGGAGACGAGGAGGCGTTGATGTGGGGAAGACGGGACGATCTATATGTGTTGATAGAGGGAGGCCCTTGGATGTGTGGATACGGGGATGCCTTGGCTGTGGGGAGACGGGAGACCTTGGCTGTGGTAGACGGGAAGATACTGGATGTGAGTATAGGTGGTAGGCCTTGAATGTGGAGACGGTAGGCCTATGGCTGTGGGGAGGTTACCTGGTTGATACCTGGAGTTATTCCGGTGAATGCACGCCCCTGCTGCCCGTTCCATTGACCAGGCCTCCCGAATGGATCAGGACGCCTGATCAACTAGGCTGTTTACTGCTGGCCGTCACGCAGTCCGACTACGAGCCACAGCCCTGCTTATCCGTCACCGACTTTAGTTATCTGTCCAGCACTCTCTTGAAGGCAGCCAGTGTTAATTGGCAATTCCCCAAATGCTTGATGGGAGGCTGTTGAACATTTTTGGGCCCCGGGACACTTAGGAGACGGGAGATGCTTGGATGTGGTGGAGAGGGTGAGGGACTTGAATGTGGGGAAAAGGGGAGGCCCTTGGCTTAGGATAGAGGGAGGGCCATTGATGTGGTTAGACGGGAGGCCCCGGGGGGGGGGGGCCTAGGCTGTGGGGAGACGGGAAGATCTTGAATGTGAGGATAGGGGGAGGCCTTGGATGTGTGGAGACGGGGAGGCCTTGGCTGTGGGGAGACGGGGAGACCTTGGATGTGGAGAGAGGGGGAGGCCTTGGATGTGGGGAGACGGGAGGCTTGGCCTGTGGGGAGAGGGAGACCTTGGCTGTGTTTAGAGGGGGTGCCTTGGATGTGGGGAGAAGGGGAGGCCTTGGCTGTGGGGAGACGGTGAGACCTTGGATGTGGGGTGAGAGGTAGGCCTTCGTAACTGCGTGGGAAGACCTTACCAGTTCACTTCCCCCTCCCTCACCATCATTAACCTCCCCCTCTCAGCTCACACCCGACAGTAACGCTTCCCTCTCCAATAACATACTCCGCCCTCTTCTTTGAGAGGTAATATTCTCCCGAGGTACTCGTCTTGCCACTTACAGAGTAGTACGTCTTGCCCATTAACAAGGTAGCACGTCTTGCCCACTAACAGGGTAGCACGTCTTACCCACTAACAGGGTAGGACGTCTTGCCCACTAACAGGGTAGAAACATTGTAGGGAAAAAGTTAATTTAGTCCACGTTTCGCTCCGTTTAAGAACATGTCAGTGTTGGTGTGTGGCTGGTGTCAGCTGCAGTGTGAGGTGTGTGGCTGGTGTCAGCTGCAGTGTGTGAGGTGTGTGGATGGTGTCAGCTGCAGTGTGAGGTGTGTGGCTGGTGTCATCTACAGTGGGCTGGGAGTATGGCTGATGTCAGCTACAGTGGGTGAGGTGTATAGCTGGTGTCAGCTACGGTGTGTGAGGTGTATGGCTGGTGTCAGCTGCAGTGTGTTAGGTGTATGGCTGGTGTCAGCTACAGTGGGTGAGAGGTACGGCTGGTGTCAGCAACAGTGGGTAAAGGTTATGGCTGGTGTCAGCTACAGTGGGTGAGGTGTATGACTGGAGTCAGGTGAGGTGCATGACTTGTGTCAGCTACAGTTAGTGATGGGTTTGGCTGATATCAGCTGCATTGGGTGAGGTTTATGGCTTGTGTCAGCTACAGTGAATGAGGTATCAGCTGCATTGGGTGAGGTGTATGGCTGGTGTCAGCTATAGTGGGTGACGGGTATGGCTTGTGTCAGCTACAGTGAATGAGGGGTATGGGTTGTATCAGCTGCATTGGGTGAATTGTAAGGCTGGTGTCAGCTACAGTGAATGAGGTGTATCGCTAGTGTCAGCTACAGTCGGTGACGGGTATGGCTGGTGTCAGCTACAGTGGATGAGGTGTGTGGCTGGTGTCAGCTAAAGTGGGTAAGGTGTATGGCTGGCTGGTGTCAGCTACATTGGGTAACTTTGTAGGTACCAGCAACCATCAGTAGGACCTGAGGGATGCTGTCAGTTATGTAGTAGCTTACAGTTGCAGTGCTGAGAGCGATTCCTTGTTGACTTCTCCTGTGTGTGTTGCTTCTGGGTAATGTGCTGAGTCTGATGTCAACACTCAGATGTGAAGTGAGTGTAAGTAAGTTTATTCTGGTATACACAAATACAGTTACACAGATCATCATACACAGCAGCATACGTGTAGACAACCTGGGATAACACAAAAAAGTCAGAGTGACTTATTTCCATTGTGGTCCTTTTACCTTATTATTATAATATAAAGGTTATAATATCTTATTATCATTCTATAACGAAGATAACATCTTATTATCATACTAAAAAGACTATCTACTACACGAGGGTCATTAAGACTATCTACTACACGAGGGTCATTAAGACTATCTACTACACGAGGGTCATTAAGACTATCTACTACACGAGGGTCATTAAGACTATCTACTACACGAGGGTAATTAAGACTATCTACTACACGAGGGTCATTAAGACTATCTACTACACGAGGGTCATTAAGACTATCTGCTACACGAGGGTCATTAAGACTAATCTACTTTCACGAGGGTTCTTAAGACTATCTGCTACACGAGGGTCATTAAGACTAATCTGCTTACACGAGGGTCATTAAGACTATCTACTACACGAGGGTCATTAAGACTATCTGCTACACGAGGGTTCATTAAGACTATCTACTACACGAGGGTCATTAAGACTATCTACTACACGAGGGTCATTAAGACTATCTGCTACACGAGGGTCATTAAGACTATCTACTACACGAGGGTCATTAAGACTATCTACTACACGAGGTCATTAAGACTATCTATACACGAGGGTCATTAAGACTATTACTACACGAGGGTAATTAAGACTAATCTATACACGAGGGTCATTAAGACTATCTACTACACGAGGGTCATTTAAGACTATCTACTACACGGGGCATTAAGACTATCTACTACACGAGGGTCATTAAGACTATCTGCTTTCACGAGGGTAATTAAGACTATCTACTACACGAGGGTCATTAAGACTATCTACTACACGACGAGGGTCATTAAGACTATCTACTACACGAGGGTCATTAAGACTATCTACTACACGACGAGGGTCATTAAGACTATCTACTACACGACGAGGGTCATTAAGACTATGTACTACACGAGGGTTTATTAAGTCCTTTCTACTACACGACGAGGGTCATTAAGACTATCTACTACACGAGGGTAAATTTAAAACTAAACTACTTACACGAGGGTCATTAAGACTATCTACTACACGACGAGGGTCATTAAGACTATCTACTACACGAGGGTCATTAAGACTATCTACTACACGAGGGTCATTACTAGGAATAAGGTAAAATTACACGTATGTTAGCTAAAAAAATAAAAAATCATTCCCCTCCATTTGTATAAGTACATTCATCAGACACTTCCTGGCTGTCTTTATGAACTGGTTCATGCTATGACTGGCTTTGACATGTGCAGGTAGTGTTGTGTTATGAGTGTTGTGAACACATTGGTACTCCGGTCAGTGTTGCTGCAACTCAAGGCTGCGCATTGTGTGCCATGATCCAACATGTTTTATCCCTGACGTCCTTCTGACTCAACACATGTCCCTCTGACGTCTTCCTGACTCGACACTTGTACCTCTGACGTCCCTCTTGTCTCAACACATATCCCTCTGACGTTTCTTTTGACTTGACATTTGTCCCTCTGACATTCTTCCTGATCTAACATATGTCCCCTAACGTTCTTCCTGACCAAACATATGTCCCCCTGACGTCCCTCGATTCAACGTACGTCCCGCTGGCATCCCCCTCAGCACAACATACGTCCCCTGACACATCAAGAGGACAGAACACATGTTTCCTGCCTCATTCTCCCTCTCTCTCTCTCTCTTCCTCTCTGTTTGTCTGTCTGTCTCTCTGTCTGTCTGTCTGTCTGTCTGTCTGTCTGTCTGTCTCTCTCTCTCTCTCTCTCTCTCTCACTCTCTCTCGACGGCTCCGTCTCACTAATGAGAGTTTAAAGCTTGTCACTATTGTTGATCCCCGTGGCTTGTACGTGTCTCCCCCCTCCCCCCGTCCGTGCACGCGCCCTGTCCCCCCCCCCACCCCTGCACGCGCCCTGCCCGTGAGCCTCACGCTTACCCCTCGTTCCCACGGGACCAGCGCCCCCCCCAGTAGCGTATGTCTGAACGCTGCTGTAGGGGGCACTGGTAAATATACTCCCTTACCATGTTACTCACCCCTCCACCCCCCTCGATGTAAGGGGGAACTGGTACATATACTCCCTTACCATGTTACTCACCCCTCCACACTCCCCACCATGTTATTCACCCCACCACAACTCACGATGTAGGGGGGGCACTGGTACATATACTCCCTTACCTGTTTTTACCCCCCCCTAA